TTTGGGCCAATCTTGGGGCTATGCCCATCTACTTCGGCCAGGGCTGTAGGGAAATCATACAAGAAGATGTTAAATAGTAGTGGGGCAAGTACACACCCTTGTTTGACTCCCTTTTTGACCCAGATCGGGTTCTACAGAAATCTCCTGTGATCTTTTATCTGGCATAGGTTTTGTTTGTGCAATTTCTTTATCAAGAAAAGAAGCCAAAAATGCTTTTAAAAATGTATACCAAAGAATCTCATACTGGCTAGGTGATTCTTGGATTTGTGCCCTAAAATGTATTTTTTCCCAAACTCTGTTAGACACTTTTTAAAATGTTCTCTTTGATTTTAAAAATACAGGTAAATTAAAACTGATTGATTTGGTATTCAACCACAGTGATAACCATTTGAGTAATATATGCAAAATTTGCTGTAACTGAATCAGAAACCTATTTAGTCCATCACCATTCTGCATTCATTTCACATTCTTTGTCCATTTGCACTCATCTGCATGTAATTGCTAAAATATTAACATCATTATTTTGGAAAGTATTATATGTATATATGCAGATTGTATTTTTGACTACAGATTTTGCCTAATAAGCTTTACTTTATACTACTGAACTGTCAGGGAAAATGCAAATGTCTCACAGTGATAGGAAAAAAGATGAATAGATAGAAGCTAAAAAGGATTTTGATTGCAATGTTCTGATTTTATTTTCTAAAAATTTTAAATTTCTATTATTTGTCTATTAACCTTTATGAAAAATAGGTTCCATTGTCTAGGTGTTAATTTGATGCACTGTTCCCTTTGCAATGCTATTCATTTGCACTGTTACCTGAAAAAGAAAGACTGAAGAGAATCTTTTTCTGCAAGCCGTAGGATTTTTGATGTTCTTTGTCCTGTGCTCTTGTAGCTGATAAGTGAACACCTCTTCTTGTATTTTGTTTTAAAGCAAGGGTTAGGTGCACCTTTTATCCTCATAGCTGAATTCAGTTTCAAATTATTTGTTGGAGGGAACAGACATTTAATTTATGGGATGAGCCAAAAGAAAAGGAATCAACCACAAATTTTAAGTCTATTTTGCTGTAAGCTCTTACTCCTAGCAGCTAAACCCAATGGGAAGCATTACACAGTGAATCACAATGCTCTCTGGACCATCCTCCTAAAAATTGGATGCCCTGACAAATTTGTGAACATCCTGCAGCTCCTCCATGATGACATGATGGCAACAGTCTTGGACAGCAATGAGTCCCAAAGTGACCCATTTAAGGTGGAATCAGGTGTCAAAGAGGGATGTGTTATTGCCCCAGCCTTATTTTCCATCTTCGTTGCAATGATATTGCACCTTGTTGATGGGAAGCTTTCCACCGGCAAAAAAATCATCTGTCAGACAGATGGCAAGTTATTTAACCTCAGCAGACTGAAAGCCAAAAAGTCACAATAACATCTGTTATTGTACTCCAATATGCTGATGATAATGTAGCCTGTGCTAATTCAGAAGACCTACAAGCCACACTTTTTGCAGAAGCATACAAAAAGCTTGGCCACTCCCTGAACATCAAGAAAACCAAAATTCCCTATCAGCAAGCATCAACCAATCCCTCTGCAATGCCAAAAATACAGCTTAATGATGTAACATTAGAAAATGTTGACTATTTCCGCTACCTTGGCAGCCATCTCTCCACAAAAGTCAACATCAACACCAAAATGTAACACCACCTGAGCTCTGTGATTGCACCATTTTTTCAAATGAAGCAGTGAGCGTTTGAGGATTGGGACATTCATAGAGATGCCAAGATGTTTGTTTATAAAATTATTGTCCTCCCATCCCTGTTATATGCCTGCAAAACATGGACCATCTACAAATGTCAATCTCAACTTCTGGAACAATTCCATCAGCATTGCCTCTGAAAAAATCCTGAAAATCTCTTGGGAAAGCAGGTGGACAAATGTCAGCATTATGAAAGAAGCAAAGACCACCTGCATTGAAGTGAATATCCTTTGCCATCATCTTCGCTGGATTGGCCACGTTGTCCGAATCCCCGATCACTGTTTTCCAAAGCAGTTACTATACTCTCACCTTAAGAACAGAAAATGAAATGTTGATTGACAGCAAAAGAGATTTAAAGATGGGCTTGAAGCTAACCTTAAAAACCGTTGCATAGACACCAATAACTGGGATGCCCTGATCCTTGAGCATTCTAACTGGATGTTAGCTGTTACAACAGTATTGTGGAATTCGAAGAAGCATGAATGGAGGATGAAAGGGAGAAATGTGTCAAGAGGAAAGCCAACTTTTGTTGGGACCACCTTCCATCTGGAAATCAATGTCCTCACTGCAAAAGAACATGAGGATTAAGAATAGGTCTCCACAGTCACCTATGGACCCATTGCCAAGACCCTACACTTGGAAAGCAATCATACTTGGCTGTGAGTAATTATTACAACCCTTTGGAGAATACAACAGCTAGGATATAAAATAAAAATCTTGAATAAGTCAACAGATCATGTGAAAAGCCCAAACAGACAATTTTTACCAAATACATACAAACTGTATCAAATCAGAAAGAAAACAATTTTTTAAATCATTTTTTCCCTTTTCCTATTTAATTAAATAGTAATTTAGGTGAAAAAAAGCAAAGCAAAAACCCCAAACCATCCCTGTTGCTGAATGTCCTAGAAGAAAGTTCAGTTTCTCTTCACAGCACTATTCCCATTTACCATATGCCAAATAAATAGCAATAAATGTTCTCTAGGACTGAAATACAAACATCATTCCATCTGGTAAAGAACCAGACCTTTCACTTTAGTTCTGTCACACACACCAAAAAATGGCTCTGGGATGACCTGGAATCTTCCCTGTTGCATTTTTGTGTCTACATCTGCTTGAGTTAAAGATGGGTAAAGGCCAAGTATTCATGTTGCACTGGGATTTTTTTTCTTGGAATTTAAGTTTGCTTACAGAAGTTGGAAAATCATCAAACAACTATATTGTAAGAAGAGGGATGTAACCATCTGGTAAACCTCAGAAGTTTGGCTTGAGGGCCCTAAAATGGCACACTCATACCTAAAGCATTTCTCAACTCTGTTTGAAAGAAAGTGGGCTGTTTTGACAAAACTCTCCAAATGTTGCTAAGCTTTGTGAAAGCAAACTTGCAGATGTCTTGAAGGTGCCTGAGAATTGCTTACAGTGATTAAATTTCATCTTCTGAAGTCAAAGATACTTCTCTTCTAGAAAGGGAAGATAAGACAGAGAGATTTTAAGTCTAGGCAGGTCCTTTACCTATCAAGGAAAATTGAAGCACGATTCCCAGTTTCCTTGCTGATCAATAATGGAATAACAAAACATGAGTTGAATGAGGGCTACTTGATTTAACATATTTTAAACCTGGAAAGGAACAAGATCAGCTGATTTTCACTTCAGCATTTCCATGGAAAAATCATCTGAGACATAAGTGCAAGCCAAAAATGGAGCTGTTCCCCTTCCAGTCATCTGTTGGAAGGCAGCCAAAGAACCACACCCAAGGCACAGGATTTAAAGTGAGGGCAAAGCGCCCAGGCCAGCCTCAAGAAGAGTGTCTTTTAGGTATCAGGGACTAAGAAAGAATTTCCAGAGCCTTCCTTGTCATCAACAGGGTGGCATGTTGTTTACTGTATTCTTATTTTCTCCCCCAGCTACCTGCTAGATGACCACCCACTTAAGGGTCCAACTTAAGCCAATTGTTAAAGTCCCCCAGAAATGTGTGGGGCAGTCATAAAAAACACAGACAAATCGGAGGGGGGGGGGTTCTTATTCTGCTCTGAAAAACTGGCAAAGCTAACACTGCACTAGAGGAGATAGTTTGGTTAAAGTGATGTCCAAAGTGTGTGTGGAGGTGGGGCAGTGTCAACTCTCAACCCACATACACACTCGCTTGGCATCACAATGTTTCCCAGTTGACATATTTGCCAGTGATCTTTCACCCATTGGAGAGCAGCAAAGTTGAATCCACTTTATAGGAGCTGCCTGACTGACTGTGAAAAGTGATGAGAAACCATGGAGAAGGAAATTAAATGGAGAATCCTGGAAATTGGCATGGGTGGATGGGGGTTTTTTTGGTTTGTTTTTTTTGTCGTGTCAGGAGTGACTCCTGGTGTGAGAGAATTGGCCGTCTGGAAGGACGTTGCCCAGGGGACGCCTGGATAATTTTGATGTTTTTATCCTTGTGGGAGGCTTCTCTCATGTCCCCGCATGAGGAGCTGGAGCTGATAGAGGGAGCTCATCCGCCTCTCCCCGGATTCGAACCTGTGACCTGTCGGTCTTCAGATTCTAACCCCCCGGCACAGGGGTTTAACCCACTGCACCACCGGGGGCTCCAGTGGATGGTTGATATTCTGAATACAAATCAAGGTTTTCCTGTATGACCCACTTATTGTTTCTTAATATAGGTTGGCATGGGTTGTTTCAATCCCCAAAACAAGTCATACATTTTAATATCCGAAACAAATGATACATTTCAATGCCCCAACAAATAATATTTCCACAATAGCAACACAAAGTTGATATGTACATTTTTGAGGGCAGTCCTGGGGAAATGTTGCAGAATTGCAATTTGCACGAGTCCTAGCATGGCCAATTATAACAACAGTGGGGGATGATGCGTCATCTGGTCATTCCACATCTCTGCTTTAGATCTTGTGTTCTTCACTCCAGACATAATATCAATCCTTCAGTTTTTCTCCTTTTCAACTTAAAGCCCTGGTGGAATTGATAATTGGTTGACAATCCTACAGTCATTTGGCCGGGAGCAAATATTCAATGGAACTTATTTTTTCATTTTTTTTAAAAAAAACATTAGACAGTTAATGGTTTTACCCTTGGTTTTGTAATTATTTCCACCATTCTGAAATGGAGAACATTGTAGAGGATACAACTACTCCATTCTCATCTTGCCCTTTCAATATTTGTTCCAGTACATCAAAGTACATAATGAAAGAAACAATAAAACAACATATTTCTTGGGGTTTTTTTTCAGTTTGCAAAGGAATATGAGGGAATTGAAGAGCTGGTTGCCCAGAAATCCTATGAAACTTGACAAAGAAGCACTTCCTGATTTGGAAGAAACAGATTGCTACACAGCACCCTTCAGTCGTGCACGCATACATCAGTAAGTGGTGGTTTAAAATTATTCATATGAATAAGACACCCACATTAATATTTCATTTCCCTCCAGCGTGTGACATAACAACAATCCTCATTAACAGATGGCTGGTGTCAAAACTGAATGGAAATCATATTCTAAAAATTATGTCATCTAGAAATAGAGTCTATATTCAACAAATATTTTCTAGACAAAGACCTTCACCCACATAATTCCACTCAGGAGATTTGATTTACTCTTCCGAGAATAATACTGCAGCTCTCCAAGGATAGTCATACTACTATGAAAGCTTTTGAAAGACTCCTAAATTACCCTAGGGGATAAATTCAATATCTCCCTTAAACCAAAATAATATTTTTGGATGTTTTTCATAAAGGCATAATTTTACATATGCGAACTACAGGTTCATATAAAAATACATTGCTGCAATTGCAGTCAATTGAATTTTGGGTTATGGCTTCTGGAACATGGCCATGCTGTCCAGAAAACTCACAGCAACCCAGTGATTTCAGCCATGAAAGCATTTGACAACGCAAGTGAATTTTGTTAGAGCAAATGGTAAACCAAATGAATATGCTTTTGATGTTCATTCCTGCTAGCCCATTGGCTCAGAACCAGCTAAAATATTACTTTATAACTCACAAGTTTGATACCATTGTAACTGCCATGGATGCATTTTGTGAAATTCTAGGATTTCTAGTTTCCAAATCTCAAGATTCCATAGCAGGGAACCATAGTGCAATAGTTGGGTAGTGTGAAAAGGACACCAAAGGTTAGTTTCTAACTTGAGCCCCCCTGGTGATAGAACTGTATGGTTGTCTGAGTGAAACTAGAAAGAACTTCTTCACCACTCATGCTTTTGTAGAAGATGGGATTTTAGAAGTTTACCTGGTTACATGACATATCAGATCTATTAAGATTATTCTACTTAGTCTGGAAAGCTTGGCATATATCAGTGAATGGGGGTGCAATTTTCACAATTCTAATTTGTTCCTGCAATTCTTAATATTCCAAAACCTGCTTGGGAGGGGTAGTTAGGGTGGTGGGAGCAGAGATTAGCTAGTTTAATGTCCTGATCTGATGGTTTCTCAGTGTGAGGCATTGTGGGATGGACACAGTGATTTGTAGGAAACACTTTTCTTAAACTGCCTGTAATGCAATAGCAAAGATGGTTTGTTTCCATGACCAGCAATACCTCACACTGACAATGAACCTCTTAAAGCAAGGCATATACAGGGAAACAGCCGAGGAGGCAACAGAGACCATATCCTCCTTTTACAGATTTTGGATATTTTTTCTGCTGTTGCCTATGTTCTCTCTTTTCAAATACTTTGCAATTTTATAACATGTTATATTGGATTCAATTTGTTTTTATTTTAATTTTGTCAAATTAAATTGAGAGGGTTATAAACTGTGTCACCAAATATATAAAGTTGTCAAGCCTTATGCTAGAAGTATGGAAAACATGAATTCATTGTGAAATGCATTGTTTGCTGTTACAGTGACAGCTGCTTTGAAAATTAGTTAACAACAGCTATCTTTTTAACAGTTTTACAATAAACAACAAAGACAGCTTCTTCAGCAACTCCACCAGAAGTAGGATAGTACACCATATGCTGCAAAGAACCAAGTATGAAGACGGAAAATCAAAAATGGGTAAACATTCATTAAAATGGGAGTTAAACTGTGTGTTTTTGTGCTTACCTTCCTACACGCGTGTAGCAAAACAAGTATTTTTTTCCAGAAACTCTCCAAGTTTGTTATAGCAAAGGCAGGAGAATGAAATGGGAGGACTCTTATTCATTATATTGGGTCTTGATCTGAAACTACCATAATCATTCTGCTCTTACATAACAGCATAGTGAAATCATATCTGGAATACCATTCTCGTCAGCTATCCTAATTTGGCAGGAACAGTATTGATTAATCCTGTATTGTCCAATTTTTCAATTGTTTTTCAACACCCCCAGTTTCTCTGTACTCGCCCATTACTTTCTTGTATCCTAAGGTTACATCAGTTGCTGGTAACTGATCTAAACAATACCGGTTAACACAGTTAACTCAGCAGGTGGAAGAGGGCAAGAGATTGAATTGCCCTTGTCTCATCTATGTTGGTTCTGCATCTGTGTTTTTAGAATATTTTGGCAATATATTATTGTGGTGTTTCTAGGGGCATAAAAGCTATCCCAATAGTGTAACACAATTTTCTGGCAAATAGGTATCAGTAAGAAAAAAGGAGACAGTTCTTTATACCATCATTACACTTGTCCTTGAAAGCTGCAGAAATTTCTAAAACAGCAGCTCCAAAATTCCGTTCAGAAATTTCTGCAGCTTTAATTTTAAGTGCTACCCTCACCCCCAAGAAATTGCAGAATGAAATGCTCCAGGCTTTATAACCAATAGAAAAAGCTCATTTTTGCATTCATGAGCTGTCTCTCCTTTAAGGTCCAGAGAGGGCTTTTTCAGCAGCAGTCTAACTACTGCTACTTTTAAACAGGATGGAAAATTCCCCTCCCTGAGAGATGCATTAATAATTTGCTGTATTTGAGATCGAATTGCATCGCCTCCCTGGATGACCAGCCAAGAGGGACAGGGATCAAGAAAGCAGCTTGTCCTGCTTACTTGCCCCAGCATCTTGTCCACATTAACAGTACTCATCAATAGAAACTGATCCAGTGTAATTCCACTCATAGAGTTGCTGGACACCTCATTGTTGGCCTCTGCTCCCATGATATTATCTAAGTCAGCTGTTATGCGGAAGATTTTATCTGCTAAATGGTTGTTAAAAGCATCACAGTGAGCTACTGAAGGTTATAATAACAGGTTCAGAGAAGAGGGTACCTGAGTTCAGAGTCACTACTCTGAACAGCTCGCTTCCCCTCACTTGTGCACTGATGCCATACCCAGCTAGGAGGGCCTGAACCCAGGTTGGACTGCTATCATCTCCTAACCAAATTTCTGTGAAGCATCGTAGGTCAGCTCCCTTATCTTTTGAGGAGATCATAGATTATACGTATCTTATTTTTCACTGACCTAGCATTACATAAGAGCAAGATGAGGTTTAGTTGATGGACTGGCTCACTCCAAGTTCACCAGACTGGCAGGATGACTGGAAGTTGAAATAGGTATTAAACACCTTTCTCTATATGGGCATGTGACCCTGCCATCACCATATCTCTCCCTGTCCTGAATTAAATACAAGCAATACAGGGTCAAAGAGACAACCAAAAACAAAACATGAAAACGCAAAATACAGACATCAATACAACAACACTTAACACACAGTCAATGGGTGTATTCCAAGTTGAGCAGGTCAAATATTTAGTTAGTTCAGTAGCACCCTATTCCCACCAGGGGGCAGCCTGCTAGATGATTCTGGGTAGCCTTCGCACTACTATCTACTCCTTCATCTGGCTCTCCCACTGGTAGCTGGTGTAGCAGTTCCAGAGTGATCAGTATCCACCCAATGAGCTATTTTTACCACAAACAATATGCCACATGTAGTAACATAAAAGAAGTCCTTCCAGGTCCTGCAGACTCAGTTTTATACTGCTCCCTCCTCGGAGATTGCTGAATCACACCCAGATTTATTTATTATTTATTTCAAACATTTGTATCTCATCCTTCTCAACCTCCGAGGAGGAACTCAAGGCAGCTTACAACTGGCAACCATTAGATACCAACAAACAAACAATCGCAGTACAGACAGCTTGACATTAAATAAAACAACAAGATTATAAAAAAGACATTAAAATGTTAACCATTAAAATGTTAAACACAACCAAGCCTAATCCCCCAAATTCAAATCATAATCCAGAGTTCCAGTCCAAGGTCTATTCATTGACAGTTCTCATAAGTCATTACAGTTGCTGCTTGGTCGGCTGCCTGAATGCTTGGTCCCAAAGCCAAGATTTGAGGGTTTTTTTCTAAAGGAGGGAGGGAGTTGCCTTGATTTCACTGGGGAGTGCGTTCCATAGACACACTCAGATGGAATGGGCCTGGATCTGCAGTTTACTCACACGAAAACCGGTTAGGCAGTAGAAGAGCTGGATGGAACTCCTCTGATTTCTGGCCTCTTCCTACATAGCAGACACAGCTGTTAAGGCTTCAGGCAGAAGTTCTTATAGTCCAGAAGCAGGAATATTTGATGAGCTCTTGTCTTCTGAGCTGTTTCTGTCATTGAACTGAACCCTATTGGAGGGTCCAGTAAATCTCTTTTACCTACTGCTATCTTCAGCTGGGAACTGAGAGTTCAGTTGTCCCTGCAGCAATTGTTAGGAGCCATTCCCATGCCTTAAAAGATATTGGCATTCCTTTTGGCCCATTGTTTTGGATAATTTCTATATGCAGTAATATATACTCTTAGAAATTTGTTGCTAATGGCCACGGCACAGAGTGAAATGTTCTCATGCTAGTCAAATGAGTCAGGTCATATGAGCCCCAAAAGCTACTTGCTATTCTACTGATCATTTTCTAATATGTGTAAAGCCATGAAGTATAGATTACTGTACCATTTGTTTACTGACTTCAAAGCTCTGGATAACCAATAGTAATCCGAATGACTAACAGGCAATTTGTTCATTGTGGAAAGCTGTGTCAAATGTGTACATTACACCGTCTTTACAAGATATCCAATGATAAATAATACATTTCTTCTGAAGAATACAGTTCAGTTTAACAATGTTGTTCTTTTTGGAATCTTTCATGGAAAATTATTTTGTATATAGGAAAAAGATGGTGCTTGTGAACATAATTGAATATTATTTCTAAGTTACATAATGTCTGCCTTTTTTCTACTTAGGCATTACCAGATTACTCAACAATGGAACATATGAAGCTGCATTTCCACCTCATGAGGTAGTTTAAGTAGTAGTACTTTAAGTATGGTATGTCCATTCTAAATTTGCTTTCATCTCCTATAGTCTAAATATAAAGCTTAAATTAGCTCTTTCCATTTGTAAGTCTTCTCTGATGGCTCTTACCTCAGACTTTCACAGTATGTATCATATGACTTTTCACTACATTAGATGTCTTTCACTGTATGACCTGCAGTCTCATGTGATACATGCTCCTCAGTAAGAAGTTACGTGTTTATTTCATGTGTGTTTTTATATTTCAATGCCATGCAAGCTGAGACCTATCTGTTTCTATTATAGGGTCATTAGAGTCTACCTGATAGGTTAAACTACTGGGATCCTATACACTGCATCTGAAATATTTGCATTTTCCAACAGGTCAAATATATATTATATTATAATATAAAAGGCACCACACAGATTACAGTTAGCTATATTGAATTATTATTATTGTGTGCATGTTTTTTTTAAAAGGAGGGCTTAAGGAAAACAAACAAGCTTTATTTGTGCTGTGTAGTAAATATAAGAATTTGGGACTTGTGCCCCCAATCACCCCACATAGTCTGACTCACCCAGTTGGCCATCCCACACGGTGAAGCACTGACCATCCATCTTCCCCCCATTCTTCCTGATGGAACCTGGGAAGCTTCCTATGTGGCCACCACAGTGACATACTCCTTTTTGATACCCCTTTAAGCACAGAGCCCCCCCCCCCAAGTAATTGTATCTTGTGTAATGGGAAGCCAGTGGGACTCCATGCTTAAAAGAGTGGCAAAATGGAGCATGCTGTTGATTCTTCCCCCATCTGATGAGTTGATAATTTTGAGAAGTATTCTATTAGAGCTACTCATTTTACTTCTTATTTATTGAAACAATGAGAAAAGAACCTTCTTGTAGATTTGGCTGTTATGCTTTCACTGTTTTTTTAATTAATTAAAGAACATCCAGGATTGATAAGAGAATAGCATACATTTTAAGGGTGTGTGAAACGACAAAAGTCCATTCTGTTTTTGTTTTGAATTTTGAGTGCCCCCATTCTGAGATTAACAGGGATTAACAGGGGAGCCATTTGGATTTGTTATTCAGAACCCTGAGTTCCATTTTGGTAAGTTTCGGTCCATTGGCACCAATGGGGAAAATTTAGAGGCTCATTTATTCATCTTTTTTTCTTTTTTTTTCTTTTTTTTGCTATCATGATGAAATTTGGCACAGTTTTAGGACACATGTACGGCTGTAAACTTACCAAGTTTCAGAATGTTTTGCTCATCCATCGATTTTTGGGTATTTTTAAAAATGTTACAAGTAACATTTTATTTTTTTTAAAGATTTTTTTTAAAATTTACCCACAATGACAGAGCATGTAAGGCATAATTCCAGGGAAGTTTCAGAAAGATTTGGTCATCCATTGATTTTTAGGATTTTTCCCATAGTTGAAGCAGTGTTATCTTTGCATCAGACTGATCAGGACTCAGCATAGCCATTTGCTGCACCATATGTCTACATCAGCCAATCACAGGCTGGTTTTCGTTTCTATTATCCTGTACTTCAAGTCTCAGAATTTCCTGTTTTTTGTCCTGCAAGTTGTCTTCTCCTCTCAGCAGGAGAGAGAGATTTTTTAAAAAAAATAGTGGAAACTTTAGAGGCTCATTTCTCCACCATTTTTAGGGCCATTAGGATGAAACTTTACAGACTTGTAGAATACATTTATGGCTGTAAGTCTGCCAAGGTTTGTGATGTTTCACTAATCCATTGATTTTTTTTGAAACTTTTAATGTTTTTTACCAATAACATTTTTAAAAAACCAAAAGAGGCATTGTTTTTTAAAAAAATTGCCCACAATTATGGAATATGGGCAGAGTATCATTCTTCTAGGAAGTTCCAGTTGTCCACTGATTTTTTAAAAAGTTTTTAATTTTCTTTCTCTTCTACTGAGAGGAGACAACTTGCAGGATAAAAAACAGGGAATTCTGGGACAATGGAAAGGTAGTCCAGCCTGTGATTTGCTGAGGAGGACCATGTGATGCAGCAAATATGGCTTCCCTGGATGTGAGTCTGGACTTTTAGGATCAGTATCTAAAATAGTACCTTCCATGTTTGGATTGAATCCTGGGTTTGCCACTTCACTAAAATCCTTAAAAGTAACTTGAAACCATTCCTCATTATAGTTATAACGTAAATTCATTCTCATTCCCTGTGCTTTCATTGTATGACAAAACCACACACAAAAGAAATCATTTATAGTAACTATGTTATTTAAATATTGTTACTTCCTAGTTCTTGTATAAAGGAATAATGTCTCAGCTGTCCTCTTCTAATCACCAAAATAACCATGAATAAACAGTCCATTTTTATAGAACATAGAGTGCAACTTTTACACCAGTTGTACCCCTTAGAGGTGACAATCCAAAACTGATACCTAATATCAGGTAAAAAGTCAGTATGAGAAAACAGCAACCCCAGCCTAGTTCCCTTGGTATGCGTTGGACATTGCAGAGTACATACTGGGCATAAAGTCAGATCAGAATGCCAGCCCTAGATTAATTTCTTCCCTACTCACTTTTGATCTCTTTTTGACCCCTTAAAAACACTTAGTGCCCAAACCCTATCCTGCACATTTCTCAAACTGCGTCATCAAAAGACACATAGCACATCATGTAAATTCCACATAATTAACCATAAATGATGAATAGGTTGAGATTCAGCAGGTTCCTTCTGGGAACTAAACACAAACATGACACCTACAAATTAGGCACAAGTGGATAAGAAAGGGGGCCAACAATACTTTGCTAGCTCCTTATTAATCCTGCACTTAACAACACTCATCAAGCCAATCAGTGAATGAAGACTTTTAGAAAAATAAGGTTTTTTATTCCTTTAAACAGAATCTAAAAGCAATCACTGAACCAGTGTTTCAAATAATGAGTTGCCATATGCTTGGGTAGAGAAATGGCAGCAGTAGCTCTTTGCTATTTCCCTTCAAAGAAGCACCAAGAAAGTAGAGGGGGCTTCTTTTAGATTAATCTGGGATAGAAAATAACAGCAGCAACCAGGAGTGGCAAGCCCTCTGAGGCAAACATGGAACTAAGTTAAGATCACTCTGACCAAAAGGTCATGAGTTCGAAGCCAGCCCGGGTTGGAGTGGGTTTCCAACCAATTGTGTAGCCTGTTGTCGACCTTTGCAACCTAAAAGACAGTTGCATCTGTCAAGCAAGAAAATTAGGTACCACCTTAAAGTGTGGGGAGGCTAAATTAACTAATTTATGAGGCCATAAAAAAGACTCCAGCAAAGCACTCCAGCAAAAAAGCATGTGGGGAATGCAGAAGTACTTCATCAGTGTTGCAGATGAATGATGAAAGCGACAGCTCCCCTGGCGGCCATAACAAGTTAAATAGCCTCTGTGTATGTTTGTATATGTTGTATGTCAAAATTGGCATTGAATGTTTGCCATATATGTGTACACTGTAATCTGCCCTGAGTCCCCTGCAGGGTGAGAAGGGCAGAATATAAATACTGTAAATAAATAAATAAGTAGGTTCTCTTCTCTGTGAAATGACTCTCAACTTATACATAACTTATATCAAATTACATAATTTTGGCTTCAAAACCTGTCCTTGACTTGTACATGAGGTCGACTTATACATGAGTATATACAGTGGATGTCTGTTTCTCGAAATTTTTATTGGGAGTTATTGTGAAGTTAAAGTAAAGATTGCAGTGCACTTTATATATAGAAGTACTATGTTAATTCACATTAATAATTAACAGAGTTTCCCAGCTGGAAAGTACTTCAGTTCCATACTCAAGGCAAAGCACTTTTGGATGGCTCACACTGTTTTTGTTCCAAAGGAATGTTTTCATTTTATGGAGAGGTTTATGACTAGATCAACTTTAACAGTAAGCGCGAGACTGCAATTTGTCAGCATTGTTCAGCTATACACATGAAAATTGTTGGACATAAAATCGGTAACTAACTACATTTCTGATATTTGTTTTCAAAAACATTCTTTGCGAGGCTACAACTCTTATCTTTTCTTTGTGTTCTCCAGGGGAGTCACAAGAGCAGACATCCCATCAAGACTCATGGAGCACAAAATCATCGGCATCTGTTATATGAACGGTGGGCACGATGGGGAATGTGGTACAAATATCAGCCTCTGGATTTGATTAGGTACTTCAACAATGGCCACATTCCACATTTTTCATATCAAACATATCCCCAGTATATATCAACTATGGTTTTGTGGTTTATAAACTGATTGTCCTACAAATGACCAAACCAACCACAGTTTGCATTCCCCATTTCTGTGTTCCTCTTTGTTCCTCTTCCATCCATTTGTCAGCTTTTGTTTCAGGTGAGGCATCTGGTGAGATAAGCCTTAATTGTAAAATTAGATTTAACAACATGTCATGATTTATATAACCTAGAGTTCACCTTGCTGGCTTGGCTGCTAGATTCAGTGGAACTCCTATTTTTCATGTCAGCACAGTTCTCTCAAATGTAATCAATAGCACTGTAATTATTTGATTGAATTAGCTTAAATGGACTTGCCCAAACTATTTCGAAACAAACAGGACATTAACCTTAAGAGTATGTGATTTATTTTTATTTATTTTTTTGCTTAATGTTCTATGGCCATGATTTGGCTTGAAAATGTGTTTCAATTAATTAGCAACATGTATCTTTTCTCCCCCATCTTTACTCTCCTACCCCCTTTTAAATGCAGGAGATATTTTGGAGAGAAAATCGGTCTTTATTTCGCCTGGTTGGGATGGTATACCGGGATGCTTATACCTGCTGCTCTTGTGGGGTTGTTTGTTTTCCTTTATGGTTTATTTACCATGGATTCTAGCCAAGTAAGGTAAGCAGTAAACAATACCCTAGGTTTTTTTTTTAAAAAAAAGAAAGACATCACATACTATGTTATAGAACTGTTGTTAAGCCCTATAAAATAAAATGATGAAATCTATCTTAAACCTTTTTGATATAGAATTAAAATAAGTTAGCCAAAGAAATTTAATCTAATTCTAATATGTCTACTAGACTCCTTTTTCTTTTAGCTAGCAGGATATTTTTGAGTCACTCATCTTACGTCTTATTTTATTTTATTTCTTAAAGTGACAGCTTCAACAGGTAGTAAAAGGTCCCGCCTCAATCTATTCCCATCCTTCCCGAACAAGCCTCAACACATAACTGATATTTCATTGGAAAACAACTATCATTTTAGAAATCATTTCAGGTTCATAGCTGTTTCCAATTACAAGCACAAAGCTTGTAATTAAAATTTGTGAGAGCTAAATGGCACCTGGAATTGATCTGAATTAGAGAGGACCAAAGCTGCTTAACTCAGCCTTGATCAGAGTTGACCAAAGTAATGGATTACTCTGAATTCTTCTCCAGAATCCAGAGCAAATCACAACTTTGTGTCCATGTAAATAGTTGGGAAGATTACAAGATGGAACTGGCTTCAACTGTATATACACAGCCGCCCTGTGTTCCTCTCCTGTTCTCATTGTTGTGGTAGCCAGCAAGATCAACATGGATTGTGCCAGTTGCTCATCACCTGGAGTTATGATGGCCAGAGTAACAAGGCAAAGGGAGAAGGGAGGAGGAAAAGGAATTGGTGATTTCTTCTCTTTCCCTTACTACTGTTTCTCTGGCACCTTGACCAATGTCACTGCATCAAGAAACTGTCATAACTCATGTCATGCCTGCTGGCCACCATAACAAAGAGAATGGGAGAGGAGAATAAGAATGGCCAGTTTCAGCACTGCGGAACAGTCAGCACTCCCTCCTGTTTCCACAGTGGCTGGGGGGATGGTGGTGGCCTAAACCATCCCAGGGGCAATCTGGCATTCAGCATTCTGGGTTGACCTGTGGAAAAGTGGTGCATGTAAAACCAACCTCTTTTATTTTTGTGTGCATTCAGGTCATTTCTGAGGTAGTTACCCTAAGGTGAACCTATCAGAGTTTTCTGAGGCTGTGACTTTATGACTCAATCAAGAATCAGTCTAACTCCCAAAATATCATACCACACTGGCTCCCCTGTAACTCTATAAGTACCTATTAACCACTGACTCTTCAACCTCTTTCAACTAATCTTATCCAGTATTGCTTCAAGGAAAATCCACAAGGATAACTCTGTCACAATAACCAGGGACCAAAAGCAAAAAATATTGGAAGGTGGGAGATACCCACAGATCCAAACTATTTCATGTTTATTTTAATATGGAGTTCACAATTCAGTGCAAAATAGATGAAAAAGTTGGTCACGGCTTATGTTTCTTTCATTCTGCTTTAATTGTAGATGAAATCATCATTTTCTTGTACTAAACTTTTACTGATAAGAACAAGACTATATATTTCATTTAAAAATATGTGTATTATTTAGATAGTAGACTGTGACCCCTTAACGGAAATATATTATCAGATAAATTATTATGGAACTTTAATAGATAGAACGTATTGCACTGTATGCAACAAACACTTGCAAATGTATGTATACTTAAATAAAATAAAATTAAAACATTACTTCTAAAATGAAGCAAAATTCAAAATGAATATATAGATAAGCAAATGTCTAAATGACTTTATATTCTATGTTTCCAGAATCACTATACTGTGTCCTGTGTAAACATATAAAAATATCTTTTGATTATGAAAACACCTATTTCAAAAATAGGTGTTCATTATTTATAATGCTTTAATAATTTTTTTTTTAGTCTTTGCACTGCTAAATTTATTGTCCATCTGCAGAGTACATTTATTATGTTATTTTAGCTCTCATCAACCCTAGTGTCAAAAAATACAATAATCATTCTGGCTGCTCATTATGCAAGAAGACATCATGTCAATTTGACAAACTAGCCATTCCTTCCAGAGTTGGTTATTAATTTCATGTGGTCAATAGAAAGCCACCAAATGATAATCTAAATGTTTCTGAAGCCGCTAACTCTCACAACTAGGAAATGTGGAGAGGGAATGGACCATAGTATCATATATTTGTCAACAAAACATACTATTTCCGTAATTATTGTGCACTGAATTTGATTCAGACCTCACAATAGCAGAGCTTAGCTTATCAAGAAACACTTATTTAAATCAAGACATGGAAAGTAAAAAAAAAATACTCTGATGAAAGAATGTCCTACCAATGTGGCACTTTTGGTATTTGGGGATTTTTCACCAAAAAAGGAATTACATTAAAAATTGTTTTAGAATGAGAAATATTTTTGCAGAAAAAGTGCTTTTGTGCTTTTTTGCATAATGATGTAAAAACTTGAAATTTGAAAAATAATTGAAAAATGCACAAAGCACATATCATTTTCCAGTGGGAGGGATAGTTCTGAAATGCTTTATTCATGCTTACAACAAGAAGAAACCTTTGCATTCCTACATCACAGATTTGAACTATAAAGTATCTGGGCTTGGATAGAGTGCAACTTTCTTTTAAAGCAGATGTGTGGAACAGGCTGTTAAGCCAATTTATACAACCCTGATGACAGATTTTTGTTTTGCAGGAGATGTGTCTACAAGCATCGTCCTTTTTATATATATAGCTAGCATCTTAGTTTGCTGACTATACTACATTCTGGCAATACTTTGAAATTTTCTGTTCTCAGTGATTAATGCTGCTTGGGCAAAAAAAATTATAAAATTTGTGCAAGCAATGTAATTCAGTTTTTAGAGTTACATAACTGACTGCCATTTAAGTAAAGGGAGTCTTCCCTCTAGTGGTTTGTGTTCAATTTCATTTAAAAAAAATTGCATAATACAACCCACTGTTAAATGTTGGCCAGATATTTCAGTTACAGTTAATACTTACAGCCAAACATCACCTCAGCAGTTCTGAATTTCAGTCTGAGATTTGTGTGTGTGTGTGTGTGTGTGTGTATCAACATAGGATATGTGTTTTTGTGTGTGAGAGAGACAGTGTGTGTGTATAGTGGATTCTAAGCAGCCATTTCAGATTTAGCTAAACATAGTTCTAGAATACAGCAATAGGAAATGTGTCCCACCAGAGCAGACAGTCTCCTAATCCCATGAGTCGTCTCCATTCTGAACACTGGCCTACTATCCTTAGACACAGAGGAAGCTTTCTAAAGCTACTGGTGTTCCTTAGCTAGGAATAGGGATTTCAATATTAAGTCCTGCTCAGCAGAGCTACAAATGCTAAAGGAGGGACTTGTTCCTCCTCAATTCAAAAGTCCTGACTAGTTAGATTTGAAATAGACAATACTAAGTATAATTGTGTCTGGAATAGATAGAATGATGGGAAATTAAGATGTTCTATGACATTTCATTATTTACTTTACTCCCAAGTATTCCTGTAAATTCTCCTATCGTTTGTTTCTCATCTTTGTGTCACTAATTTATAGAGGAAATCCACCAGTTTTCCATCATTAAAATAATTGCTATTTGCAAAGATTTTTGCCCTTTCTATATTTTATTTTATGTGAATATGGTTGACATATCTCTTCATCTCTGACTTATAGCTACATTGTTTCCCAAAGCTAACTCTTCACTGTATTTGTAGCCACATCACTGGGTGACAATGTGGAATAGAAATCTTCCAAATGAATAAAAGAATTTAAACAATGATAAACTTTACAGCTTCATAATCCATGTGTCAACCTATTTGTCTGCCCAGTTATGCAGGATACACAAGTCTTGAACTGCTATAATATAGTATTATGCTTACCTACTTCTCTCGGGATGGTGTCTTATTGAGGTTCAGAGAAGTTATGGAGGATAAAAATTCCACTGACACTGAAATCATGCACTTCATGTTCCATTTCTGCCTACAGTACATTAAATTTTCTATTTCCTCAAGTAAGGTACAAGACAATAACACAAAGATGCTATGTGCACTCTATGTTTTCTGTACTTATGAATGTCAAAAACATTGCAATGCCTTTGAATAACCATTTGATTTCTTGATTTCCTGTTGCAGCAAAGAGATCTGTGAGGCAAATGAAACTGTCATGTGTCCAATGTGTGAGAAAAATTGCACACTGCAAAAGCTCAATGAAAGCTGCATCTATGCAAAGGTAGTTTTTAGTCCTCACTGTTAGAAACTCATTGGTTTAAAGGTCAGTTGCAAATGATATCAGAAAATAGCTTTCCTAATGCATGAGTGCTTGGTGAAATTTTTGGTAACAAACAGAAAACTGGTCACTCTTCATGTTCACCTCTTCACAAAGAACAATGTTGGTTTCCAATGGTGAAAAGGTCAATTGTGGTAGAATCTAAAACTAAAACCAAAATCATGCAATAACTTGGCAAAACCATAGGTGATAACAGAGTGTGTGTTTATGAGGAAATGCCAGCCCTAAGAATAGCCAGCTTCCTTCTCTGCCCACTCAACATTGTAATACATCATCCCTGAAAATCCATGAAAAAAAACTTTAAAGGAGGAAGCATATGTTAAAAGGAACAGATAGTCATGACTTGGAGTCATTTCAAGACTTTTTGAGAATGTAACCCAAATGCTTGAGCACCCCACTTTTTGCAACCACTAGGATACGCATACATCCCAAAATATAGCTAATAGCAATCCCAGCATATGTTTCAGTTCTTCACAAAAAAAAATTGGAACTTATCTTGTATCACATTTAAGTTACTAATCCTGATTATCTAGTCTTAAAATAAATTGATTAAAATGTCATATAAAAATATCACACCTCATCTGTTTTGGATTTTTTGAAAGAAAATCAAGCATAGAAATCTTTCTGTTTTCATCAGATTTTCACATAAAAACACGTATATTCCCAATCATTATATAGTATTGTAAGAAAACCAAAGTCAGAGATCAAATTTGTACCTCATATCCACTGTTTATAGAATTCATGGAATACATATGCTGAGCTGATATCCTCATGCCATAGTTAATGACTGTTCATTCTTTCAGAACATCTAAATACACTATTATTATTCTTGTGTGACACAAACACATACACACAAGATCCACTATATAAAATATGTATATATATTTATTTCACAGACAGACATTTTCTACTGACCATGCCCAGCATGTCTGTGACATATAGCCATTGAATGAAGTCTTAGAATAATAGAGTTGGAAGACATCACAGATGGCCATCCACCCTCTGCTTAAAAACCTCTAGAGAAAGAGGCTCCAACTGTAAACATGTGCTCTGCAGATGTTCCTATTTCTGACAAGTAAAAAAGAAATGGCAGAATTTCCAAGGAGATATTTGTTGCCAATCTCACTTTCTACCTTTGTAAAACATACTACCCAGTGACATGTCAGGAACTCTCTTTGTGCCTCGCCAGGAGTTCTTTGATCACTGCTCATTGAAGAAGTTCTGGAGGATCTGCTTCTTGTATTCCAGTTTTGAGTTTCTTATATCTCATTCTGGTAAAAATTACAGTCACTTATTTCCTTAAACATAGCAGGTTACTTGATATTTTGAACCAAGTGAAATAAACATAGATGTCACATCTTTAACAGAGCCTATAGTGTAGTGTTGAATGTAGTGCATATTGAGTATCCCTTATCTGAAAATCTGAAATATTCCAAAATTGCCTACATGTATGGCTGTAACACAGTTGCTCTCTGATAATACATTGTACACAAACTTTGTTTCATTTATAAAATTACATTTAAAAATATTGAATAAAATGACCTTCAGCCTATGTGTGTAAGGTGTATATGAATCATAAATAAATGTCATGCTTAGATTTGGGTCACATCCCCAAGATTCCTTGTTATATACATATATACAAATACAGATATTCAAAAATAGTGTCTGGGGATGGGTGGAATCTGAAATCCAATGCACTTCTGGTGCCAAGCATTTTGGATAAGGGATATTTAGCCTGTGCTACAACTCTTCTGTGGATGAACTTTTCTGTTGAGACTATGTGTTATCATTACCAATTTATTTTACAGTTAAACATTTAGAATTGCTGCCACAGGCAGAATTTTTTTGTTAGTCCCTAGCTGCTTAAAATTTGTAGATGAAAATATATTACAGTTTATGTCTGTAGAAGTCATAGAGTACTTATGTACAATCTTTGTCTGTAGAAGTCATAGAGTACTTATGTACAAAAATACTACTCAGTGTAGTTTAAACAAAAAAGTTGGGCTAGATACCATAATCTCCACAGTTGAAGCATGGCTTTATTAAAAGCATAGAAGTAGAAATTATGTGGGTTCCCCAGATTCTGTTGAATTTCAAATCTATCTTTCATCACTATCTTCCATGATGGGAATTGAAATCTTACAACATCTGAAGAACTATAACTCCCCCACTTCCCCATATTAACAGATATTTATTTATATTTATTTCGTATAGTTGTATCCCATCCTTCTCACCCCCGAGGGGGGACTCAGGCTTACAACGAGAAGATTTAATTCTTTAATATGTGTCATTCATTTGGATTTTCCCCCTCTAGGTTACACACTTATTTGACAATGGAGGGACTGTCTTCTTTGCCATTTTTATGGCTATATGGGGTAAGTTTTACTCAAATCTTTAACTGTACAAAATAGCAGGGGAAGAGTTTCCACTTGGAACAATTTGACATCTGGAATTAATTTTAGTATGAAACACACACTTATTTAAGTGGCATTAGCCTACTTATTCATGACTAGCATTTTGGTGGGTTATTACTTTATACATGAAACCTAAGTTTATATTAAAAGTGCAAAGAAATGTCAGAATTAGGAATCCTCATTGACCACACAGAAGAATATTCAAGCATCCTATTTTTAGCATTTGGATCCTAATAGAGATCCCCTACGATTCACTGAAATGCTTTTAGGGAAGGATTTTTTATTTAAATCCTTAGAACACATCGTGGAGCATTATTTTTAAATTAGAATGGTTATAATAACATGCAGAAACTACCCCTAAGTTAAATGTGTTGTCGAAGGCTTTCACGGCTGAAATCACTGGGTTGTTGCAGTTTTTTCGGGCTGTATGGCTATGGTTGTGAGGTCTGTTGGAAACTAGGAAAATTGGGTTTATATATCTGTGGAAAGTCCAGGGTGAGAGAAAGAACTCTTGTCTGTTGGAGCTAGGTGTGAATGTTTCAATTGGCCACTTTGATTAGCATTTGATGGCCTGACAGAGATATAAACCCAATTTTCCTAGTTTCCAACAGACGTCAGAACCTCTGAGGATGCTTGCCATAGATGCAGATGAAACATCCGGAGATTGGTGTTTATTATTTACTGTTTCGTTTCTGGTGTTTAACCAGATTTTGTTCATTTTCATGGTTTCCTCCTTTCTGTTGAAATTGTCCACATGCTTATGGATTTCAATGGCTTCTCTGTGTAGCCTGACATGATGGTTGTCAGAGTGGTCTAGAATTTCTGTGTTTTCAAATAATGTTCTGTGTCCAGGTTGGTTCAACCAGAGACATCCGCTATAGCAGAGGATTTGATGAAGTTAATTACTCCTCTGCCAATTATAAGAGCATGCTGTAGGTTCTAAATGACACTGCTGTAGTTCATAGTACAGACAGTCCTCAAGTTATGAACTCCAGCCAGATAATTGGATTTTGAAAAAATTGGCTTGTCTTGGAAACAAGGATTGGTGATAAAGCTTCCGTTGAAATACCTTTTCCCCATGATAACTCTTTCAGGAGTGGATTTATCTTCTGAAGGGTAGATTTTTCTCACTTCCTGTTGTTTCACCCCCGCTCTTAACTATGAGTCATTTCTAAGTTGGATGTTTGAAACTCAGGGACTACCTGCATTTGAAAAGTACATTCCAGGGAAAATCTTGGCAGTTTGTTGATTCCTACTTTTGCTCTTTGAAGACTATTTTTTGTGGTATAATTGACATTTAATATGACAAAAATAACTCACGTGTAAAATAATTTATTCCCTGAGAAAAATTCCCAACTGGGACTTTTTAACTAGTGAACCCATGCATTGCTGGGCTTACTCAATGCATAAGCTAAATGACAAAAATATTGCTCTCCCATATATGTTAGTTGATTTATTTTGAAATGTACAAATGGACGAGCATTTATCTTCTCTTTCATTCATTACTTTTTTCATAGCTTTATTAAAACAGCCAATGGTAACACGCTTGTATTCTGCTTACAAAAGTAGTCATTCAGATATTTCCCACAGCTAAGCAAGCACAGATGTCCAGCATCTGGTAATATGAAGTATACACTCTGTAAACATAGACCTTGAATTTGCTAGCATGGTTAATAAGCAATATCTTGTTTGTTTTTTGAAAGCAGGAAAGGGCACCTGTCCCCTTTTAGCCATTGTTGCACTGTAGTTTCCCTCTGCCTTAGCTAAACAACTTCTCACACATTATCCAAAACCATGCAGATCAACAGGTATAGGACTGGTGCTACAAACTGTTACAAGCCAATCTTGGGCATGTGTCAAAACAAACAAATCAATGGATATCAATTTTTAAAATTAAAACAGCTTACACAATACAGGCAGTCCCCAAGTTATTAACAGGATAGGTTCTGTAGGTTTGTTCTTATGTTGATTTTGTATGTAAGTTGGAATAGGTTCATTTTTTAAGATTAGCTCTGACATATCTGCCTGTCTGTCTGTCTATCTATTTATCTATCTTTGGGTAGCATAAGGACAGGTTAAAACCCCTGTGGTGTTTGTTCTGCTGTCTGTCCAGAGTACTTCACCTCACATTCTGTCCATATGATATTTGAATTTTGAAAAAAATGGCTTGTTGTGGAAACAAGGATTGTTGATAAAGTTTCAGTTGAGACACCTTTTCCCCATGATAAATAACTCTTTCAGGAGTGAATTTCCCTTACTATGGAGAAGATTTCTCTCACTTCCTGTTGTCTCACCCTTGTACTTAACTATGAGTCATTTGTAACTTAGGGACTGCCTGTACTAAGCTCTTGGATGTGGTGAAGTCAGATCATCCATAGGTATTGTATCGTATGATGTTTCTTTGCTGTTCTGGGGTGCTGTCTTATTAGCTGCTGTAGGGTTGTAGAATGACAAATCTCCAAGAGTTGCATCAAAGGGTTCAGGTGTACTGTCCAATCGCAGAACTGCAAAATATAATTGTTGATACTTATTTAGAGTCTGAAAAAAAATCCTTCAAAAAGTAATTAAAGACAGCCTCACATCGTTAGTTTTATCTCTAAATTGTATATTGCCTATTGTATACCCACAGATTTTAAGAGCCGATCCAGACAATTCCGTGTTGGGAACTTTCTGTTTTTAATGTTTTGAATCATTGATCTTAATGTTAATGTATTTCTCTTTTTTTTTAAAAAAAAACCCCCTCTGATTTAGTGTTATAATGCTTTGTACACATGGACTGTGACCGTCACAATAAAATTAATTCATTCAGCCCCCCCTCACCCCACCCTTCTCAATATGGCCATGGAGTGGACAGGGGTGATCAGCTGGTGCATGACAATGTCATCCTATGAGATGGATTCTAGAGCACTCCCAGATGTTGCAGAGAATAATAACATAACTATCATGTGCCAATAAGCAGCATGGATGATTTCTGGATACTCCCTATGACTGTGTGCATCTGTTGCCAAGGGCAGCGAGAGAAAATCATTAAAAAATGAGGGGGGGGGATTTTCTCCTTGCTATGAGAACATCTTTGAAAACTGTGCTGTTTTTTAAAGCATTATCACAGTGGAGAGGAAATTGAAGAAACTATTTGTTCCCTCCCTGTGGGAATGAATTTTAAGAGGAATTGCATCCCTATTTTGTATATATAAAACACAGATATCTATTACTAAGATATACAAAGTATTATGTTATTGTTGTTGAAACTTCAAATATGAGGTCATATGACAGGTTTATTACTTATATACACAATAAAGAGGAGAACCTTTTCTTTGTCATAGATAAATGTCCATATTCATGTAGATAAACATAATAGTTCAATCCAGCTGATGATTTAAAGAGACACTTGTAGATATTTCAAAGGACTATTTGTGGCATCCAAAGTTTTGCCAGAGAAGAGTTCTACACAGTGACCAGGTTACAACAAGGTATCCCGGGTATAGTTACTTATTTCAGTATTGGTGAGGAAATTCTTCAGATAATGAATTCTTCTTAATATTACATGTATGAAAAGAACAACATACATAAAATAGATATTGTGTATATAAGTAATAAACCTGTCATATGACATCATATTTGAAGTTTCAACAACAATAACATAATACTTTGTGTGTCCCTATTTTGTAACCATCTAGCTCCAGTAGTTCACAACACCATTACTTATACAGGAGAAGATAAATTTACACATGCAGATATTTCTGGCAGAAGTATGAACCTGATCCTTTTTTCACAGATGTACCATTAGCCTAGGAATTAGTTATCTCTAAAGTTATTTGCACATAAATTCACATGTCAGATGTGTTATTTCACTACTCACTTCCAAATGCAGTATCAAAAGCTGGCCATAGCATAATAATAACATGCTTTGTTTGCTAATCCGTTGTTGATATCACATAAAACTAGACCCTGGCTGAAGCAAAGTAATGTTTGTCTGTGAGTATAAACTAAAGTTTCAATGGATATCTGTTTTCTGGATTTTATAAGTCTTAGTTCCTTCCTGGCTTAGATATCCCTGGAATAAATTGTGATTAATTTGTATGGGTATTTTATTTCTGTTAGAAATATTTCTGTAGCCCACTGCTCCAGAATGAAACTATTTAGTTTTGGAATGTTGTGGGTTTGTTTCCATTGACATGATCATTTTATTGCTTTACTGTTGCAAATAAGTGAATATGCTACAGATTACACTCTATTCTATTTACCCAGTATTGTAAATAGCATAGAGTTGCCTGGAATCCAAATTATTATTATTATTATTATTATTATTATTATTATTCCACACTTTATCTCCCCCAAAGGGGACTGAAAGCGACACTAATCCATTTATTGCAGTGTAAATAATGGAAGAAAAATAATAATAAACTGAATAAATAGTGTTTAGATATTTGCTCGGAAGCATGATGAGGAAATATTTTAGAGAATTATTTATGGGAGCGTTTTTTTTATAATGCAAAGAAAATTAGGATTAAGGTAACAACGTATTTTCTGCATGAAATATCAATTTACTTCTTTATAACTTTTTGAAGTAAGACATATATTTACATTCCTCTAGCTATGGAAATCAGTTCTACTACATGTATACTTTACTCACTATTCACACAAATAGTATTGCAATTTAACCAAAATAAATACTTCAATGCAAAGATGATGTCAAATATCTGAGCAAACTTAACTTCAAATAGCAATAGGCCATTTTTCCTGCACATAGCTATGTAAAAAACTGTAATGCTTAAACCAGTGATTAATTGATAATTAAATAAATTTGTGTAATTTTCCTTACTCACTGTTTGAGTGTTTCTGTGTGTATTGGAAGGAATGGAAGTAAAACAACAGTGAATACATTCTAAAAAAATATAGTATCCACAAGAGACATCAGTCCATGCAGGAACACACAATCAAAACACTCCTGACAGATGACCATCCAGCCTCTGCTTAAAAACCTCCAGAGACGGGTATTCCACAATGCTCCAAGGCATCATATTCCATTGCTGAACAGCTCTTATTGTCTGGAAGTTCTTCCTAATGTTTAGGTGGAATCTCTTTCTGCAGTTTGAATCCATTGCTCTGTGTGCTAATTTCCAGAGCAGCAGAAAACAACCCTGTCCCCTCCTCGATGTGATATCCTTTCAAATATTTAAAAAAGATTTAAATTCATGCCTCCTTTCAACCTTCTTTTCTTCCAGTTAGATATTCCTCCCTTAAACATTTCACATAGGGTTTGGCTACCAGACTTTTGATCATTTTTGTCACCCTTCTCTGGACATGTTCCAGCTTTCTTTCCTCAATGTGATATCCTTTCAAATATTTAAACATGACTATTCATGCCTTCTCTCAGCTCTCTTTTCTCCCAGTTAAATATACCTCCCTTAACCACCTAGGGCTTGGCTTCTAGACTTTTGCTCATTTCTGTCATCCTTTTCTGGACATGTTCCAGCTTGAATTATGGTGTCTACAACTGGATACAGTATTCTGGATGAGGTCTAACCAAAGCAGAATAGAGTTGAACTATAACATCCCTAAATATAGACACTATACCCTTATTGAGGCAGCCTAGACATATTTTGTTTCCCTTCTTTTTTCTACTTTTCTCCTTACCACTTCCTAAAATCTTTACAGCTGAAATGTAATTAAGCACTGTTTTAGAATCGCAAAGGTGCACTCTCATTTCATATCTCCTCAAAGCCAAGAACAGCCACATCTTATGAATTGCTTCCTCCCTTTGTCACTGGAAAGTTACAGAGTAACAGCAACATTATCCATTCCCCTAGGCTTGAAATTTGGTAGAGTGGAAGAGAGACATGGAACTGCATGGCTGGAGCATTACACTTCACCTGCTTCATGCAAGATCTCAGCTATCATTGGAAATATAAAACAGGGTTCGTTATCATGAAGCCTTCTTGATATTGTAATCACCCCAACTTTGGGAAGAAATTCTGGAGGTGGATTCTTCAGATAAACATAAGTATCTTTTCCAAACTGTATAGAAGATATTATTCCATTTTTTGACCCAAAGATAAGCATCCTTGCATCCATTTATGTAGGAATTACGTAGCTGCAATTCCCACTCCCCAATTTGGGCAATGGTGATAAATGTTGAGAACTGTAAACCAATAAAATCAGGGAGGATGATCTTTAGCCCTGCTATAAGACTTTAGTTCATGCCAATATTTCATTACCTGGATCATTCCTTGTATCATCATAAAGTCTGTGATGTCCAAACGATTCAGCTTTCCTCTTTGTACACATTAAGTACCCGGCTAGGCCAATTAATGCTGATCCTAGCATAGCTCCTACAATTGCACCAAATACAACTGCTCCATGAGTGTGATTTTCTAAGGGAAAGGTAAAAAAATGCATGTTAAGCAATCATGTAATTATGTGGGTGAATGCAAATGGAATTGTGTGGAGAACTTTTACACATACAAGAAGTTCTCATTTCAGAAAATCACACTCAACACAGAAACAGCTTTAGAACAGGGGGTAGAATTTTCCCTGAAGGAAAGGAAATTGTGTGTGTGTATCAAACAAGGAATAAAAAACCCAAGTCAAATCTGTTGACATAAATTAACCAAATTAGCAAATTAAGTAAAATACATGGCACAACAGCCACCCTAATCCTACAGAAATGAGCCTCTGAATTGCTTCTAGCATTTTTTCTTTGACTGGATGATCTGAAAAGCTTATATGTTCTTTTCATTCCATTAAAACAAGATTTTTTGGAACACTACTCACATTACCAACAAATGCTTCATCATAGTAGCTCTGTAGCTGAGCTGGTCCTGATTATCTTAACATGGAAGCCTGTTTAAGTCATTTGAATATTAACTACAATATATTTTCTTTTTACAATATAAATTGCTCAGCTTCCAAAAAGCAATTCCCAAATTTCAAATTACTCATTATTAAAAATCAACTAAAATGTATCTGTGACCTTTCTGTATGCTGTGAATATGGAATGGTTGTGCAGCTGATGTTATTGTGCAGTAGATAGTTCAAGGCTTTAGCCTATAAATCCCTAAATGGTTCCGGTCCAGCTTACCTATTTAAACACATCTCCCTTTATGAGCCAGTTAGAGTATTGAGATTGGTTGAAGAGGTCCTGCTCTCAGCCCCGACACCCTCACAAGCATGACTAGTGGGGATGAGAGACCGGGCCTTCTCAGTGGTGGCCCCTTGGCTGTGGAACTCCCTCCCCAGCAAGATTAGATCAGCCCCCTCCCTCATGTTGTTTAGAAACCAATTCAAAATGTGGGTTTTCAAGCAAGTATTTGGGGAGTGAGATGAAGTAGTCAAGGTAACCTCAGTATTACTGCAATGTCTAATGTTCCATGTTTTATGTTGTCTATGTCCAATGTTTTATGGTTTACAAGTTTTAATCTATTATTATATGCTATTTTAGTTACATGATGTATTTTACAATTTGTGTGAGGCATTCAATTTTGGCATTTACCTTGCTGTGAACTTCTTTGAGTCCCCCCAGGGGTGAGAAAAGTGGCATATAAATGAAATAAATAAATAAATAAATAAATAAATAAATAAATACCTTTTTGATGTTCTCTTGCTTCAGCAGAACTATCAGTAAAATTGGGCTGCCAACTTGTAGTTTGTATAGTTAACCGTAGGTCTGTTGTAGTGCTGGCACTCTTAGTTGTCAACAATGTAGTTGAAGCATTCAGAGGGTTATTAGTGGGATGAACTGTTGTGTAATCCACATAAGTTTTGTTAGAGGACACCATGGAGTTAAAATTGCCATTATAGGATGCTGTGGTGTAATTATTTGATCTGGTTTCTGTTGATGTCGCATGAGTTGTGGCTTCAGCACTTTTAGGGAGTATTAATGACAAATAATTGCTGGTTGTGGGTATATCTGATGGAGGTGGTGTTCTATTGATTCTTGTAGATGAGTGATTGTCACCTTTAGTGAAATTCAGTTTATGCATAGTTGTTGAATTTATGCCATTACTTTGAGTGCTATTTTGCATCCCTGTATTTTTTGTTATGCTCTCAGTAGTGGCTGTTGGTGATGTAAGAGTTATAGATGGAGTTATGCCAGAAGTCGCAATAAATGTGGATGGACTCATAGTGGTGCTATTTAAGCTGTGTATAGAAAGTGTGGAAAGATTTACATCAATACAGTTATTTCTGGTCCACCGGAGGCTAACCAACATCAAAAAGAGCATCGGTCCTTTGGATGCCAGCATTTTTGTACAATTCCTTGTTGATATGAAAAGCCTGGGAAAAAAACAATAATCTTTGTAATCTTAGATTATATTATTTTCAAAGAGCACAAGGATTCACTGTTGTCAGAGGAAAAATAATAAATTCACAAATAATATTTCCAACTCCTTTACTGGTACCTTGGCTAATGACTATGGAAAAGGAGTGGCTTCCCATGTAGACTCTGATGCATAAGAGACCAGAATGTTGTGTGATATACCAGCACAATTTCTTGTGAATAGATCTGAGTATCTGAATGGCTGTCAAATTTGTTGATGGTATCTAGATCAGAAAACTACTGCTTCTATATACACCATTTTAATTATGCATACATTCTCTGAGGCTTTGTGCTGTTACGTATCAGGGTTGATAAGACTGGACAACTATCAACCTTATCACATTGACTGCTGGAATTGCCACAGATCATGATGAATCCCATAGTGCCCAACATGGTGTGTGGGGAACCCGTCACCCCACGTCCTGCATCACCCAACTTATCTCAAACCCCATCCCATGGGGGGGGGGGAGCATTCACCACCCAGCTTCCCCCAATTAATCCCTATGCAACACGGGAAATCTCCTGTGTTGCGCTGTGGCTGTAAATGTCAGTTTCTCTCCATTTGTGCCACAGAGCTCTACCAGAAGTGGCTCTAAATTGTGGGATGGGAGCTGGCAGACTCCATGTTGTAAATGGAGAGGAACCAGCGTATGCTGCCAGTTTTAAGTCTGTCTGATGAGGTTGTATGTCTTGTATCTGAGAAATGAACTTGATTGTATTCTTAGACCAAAAGATACAACACTATTTATTTTGATATTTATTATTATTTATTTAGAACATTTGTATCCCATCCTATTCTTGACCTCTGAAAAGAGACTGCTTACCTCTCGGAACGTATTCTCCCCTATGAACCATCAAGATTATTAAGATCGTCTGAAGAGGCCCTGCTCTCGGTCCCAGCGGCCTCGCAAGCGCGTCTGGTGGGGACGAGGGACAGGGCCTTCTCGGTGGTGGCCCCTCGACTGGAACTCTCTCCCAATGGAGATCAGAACCGCCCCTTCTATCCTGACATTTAGGAAACAGTTGAAGACGTGGTTATGGAGACAGGCATTCGACGAGTAAGCCAATACCCTGAGATATGGATGGAGGATGATGAACAACGATTTTAGTGTGACAACTGACCATTATAGTTATTGAATGTAATTGATGTTTTAAGGTTTTATTGTAATATGAATTATGATGTTTTATTGACTGTATGTGGTATTATGGTTGGAAACCGGTCTGAGTCCCTCAAGAGAGGTGAGAAGGTCGGTATATAAAACTTTTAAATAAATAAATAATAATAAATAAGAGCAGCTTCCAACAATATAAAACATTAATAAAATACAGAGTTACATAAAATGATAATAAAATTACATTTAAAAACAGTTCATCACGCCTAAAGCATTCTTCAAATCAGTCCAAAAAGTACGATCCATAAAATCTCATCTATGCCAGTAAAACCTTTTGATCTGCTCCTAAATTTAATAGAATCAGAACAGATAAACACTTGAGTGTGTTTTTTCCCATATTTTTATGAACCCAGAATTTCCTTTTCATAAAACAGCATACAAGGATGAAATATAAACACAATAACAATACAAATGTAAACAACTAACTAACTACACATTGTTACTGAAACAAACTCAGCAACACAGACAAAGGAAATATATGTAGTATTCCAACTTGCTAGCTAGAAGTCACAGTTGACTAATATATATTTTTCTAGTTTAAATATATAGTGTTCCCAATTTGTTTATTGCTATGGTAACTAGAAAAGCCCTTCTGCTTGTTTATAGCTACTGTTATTCAAACACCCTCATATACTTCCATGCTACTAGTACAGGCAGTCCCCAAGTTACAAACAAGATAGGTTGTGTAAGTTTGTTCTTAAGTTGAATTTGTGTGTAAGTCAGAACATGTACATTTTTAAGTGTAATCCCAGCCAAATATATATATTAGCTTTGGATAACATAGGAAAGGGTAATACCCCCATAGTCTTTGTTTTGTGTCTGTGCCCCTGTTCAGAAGATTTCACTTTCTGTCCCTGTGACAATTGAATTTTGAAAAATTTGGGTTGTTATGGAAACAAGGATTAGTAAAAGAGCTTCAGCTGAGACATAATTTTCCTATGATAACTCTTACAGGAGTGAACTCTGAGAGGTAGATTTTTCTCACTTCCTGTTACTTCACCTCCATTCTTAACTATGAGTCATTTGTAAGTCAAATATTTGTAACTCATGGACTACCTGTATATTCTTGTCCAATTCTTTATTCACTCACCTTGATATTTTAAGGCCCATGCATTAAAGGAGCACATCATCACTAATTTTGTGTAAATAAATTATGCTGGTGTACGTCTCATAGACTGAATGAGAGAAACTTCTCCTGTCATTTTAGGCTCCCCTTTCTCCCTCCACACCCACACACACCATTCTGGATTGAACATTAACCACCTGAGGTATATATAACAAGATAAGGCACATTCTGGGGGTTTTGTTTCTGTTAGGAAAGAGGAATATAATAGTGAAATATGGTTACCACCACCTCACTTTAATCACTCCCAATCAAATCGGTGAAACCAGTGGGGGGGGGGGGGGAGAAAATATTGCATCTGGGGGTTTTTTCGGATGGACCAAAGTTTCTCATTCGGCATATGACTCTCATCTACCATTTATAAGCTGATGTCATATCTAAGTCAGAGGCAAGGACTGGAACCAAAATTATGGATATGATATGATTTGTGAAGAAGGGAAAGCACCAGTGGCACCTCAGGGGGTTATCCACCCTGGCTGCCACACCCTCCCTTCCCCCCAACATTAAAAAAAGACCAGAAGGGAATTGTGTATCCTTATTTTTGCTAAGAATTAAAGTACAGTATTGACTCATAGATAGCTTGATCCAGGTTTCCTGGGTGGATTTTTGACCAACATTTCTAGACTTTTGCATAGGTTTTTTAGTGCACTTTTAAAGAAAGAACTGTTCTTTTTTTCATGATAGAAGATCCGCTTACTCTTTGAGCCAAAACCTAATAGATAGAGAGCAGCCTATAGGAATGTATTTTCCAAATGTATTGCCTTTCTCATGGTGGAATATCAGCAATGGCTTTCCATCAGACTGATCCCATTACTTTGTGCTTTCTGGTAGCTAAGGGATGGAGGAAGATAACAAATGTGGCAGTCATTTTTAAGATAGCATAGCTGCCTCAAAGAAGTGCATATGCCTACAGCAAGTTTGCTGACAGATTGTAGGAGCTTTTTCAACATTTGACAATGTTTGGAGGAGGAAGTAGGAAGCAAATTAACAAATAAGAAATCTTGTTAAACTGTGTGGTTCTTGCTTCACTGAGTTTCTGCTCTCAGAGTCATTCTATGACTCTATATGAATTTTGACCATACAGGTGTGATATCTTCCGGTGGCGCAGTGGGTTAAAGCCCTGTGCCGGCAGGACTGAAGACTGACAGGTCGCAGGTTCGAATCCGGGGAGAGGCGGATGAGCTCCCTCTATCAGCTCCAGCTCCTCATGCGGGGACATGAGAGAAGCCTCCCACAAGGATGATAAAACATCAAAAATCATCTGGCGTCCCCTGAGCAACGTCCTTGCAGACAGCCAATTCTCTCACAACAGGATGCTCCTGCTCCTGACACGACAAAAAAAAAAATCTTCCAAAATACAGTTTAATAACACTCCATCTTTCAGAAGATGGAGAGGAAGTGCAATATTTTTCAAATGTAAAAGCATTTTTTATATTCTGGTTGTCTAGTGGAGATATCTTAATAGTCATTAAAAAGGCAATACTATTACTTATTGATAAGAGCTAATAAACCTGATATTAGGTTTGGTATTATTTGCAACACAACCTTTTGCACATTTAACATTGAATTCATTGGATACAAAGAGTCATATTGCAGATCAGTTAGGAATAAAAAGAGAGGTTAATTGAGAGTATGCTTTGCCCCTTAACCCCCGAAATAATGAGACTGGACAACAGTAGTTGGATTCAAATTTGGGCAACTTTATTAAATGTTACCTATTTAACTTTAGCTGAACTAAACTATGTGTCTAGGAACTTGTTGGCCAACCGAGGCAGCGTCCTCGGCTATTTAGTGTGTAATACTTGTGTGCCCTGGATCCCCAACCGGGCAACCTCAAAGGTAAAAGTCTGGAGAAGCCTGCCTCAAATTATTGATTTCAGACTCTCCTGTTTCTGGGCCAAGTGATGTCTCCTCACCCATTTGATGACCTCTAGGTGAGTGTTTGTTGTGTAATGACCCCCACCCTTAAGGGGTGCCTTGTGTATACCTCAATGCCCGTGTTTTCCTGTGCTATTTATGCTAGCCTATTTAAACACGCACCATCCCAGCTAGCCCCTAATAACCGTATAGGGTAGGCGGGAAAAAAAAACCCAGAACATAGGGGGCAAAAAATTCCTACCCAGTTCCGTCCGGCAACCAAACATTATACTGTCAGTGGGCGGGTGTGGTGGGTTGAATTCTCTCCTCAGACTGAGGGAGGAGGCCGGCTGCAAAGCTCAGCCAGCCTCCGCCCTCCTTCCAGGTGGTTCCACTGGAACCACCCATTCTCTAATATTCAGGGGGAGGGGCAAATCGCTCCCCCCACCAACTTCGTTGGTGTGGAGAGTCCCTTATTAAGCTATTGAATCCAAGTATGCTGCACAACATCCCTTTGTGCAGAATGTGGTGAAGGCAAGAAGTCTATCATGGCTTTCTCCTCCTTAGTATATATTGGTAAGCCACCTTTAACCCAATTCCACAGGGAGATGCATCAACAGTGCATCTTTCTGCCCATTCCTCCTGGTGCAACATGGGAAGACTCCTGCGTTGCTGCAGTGGCAGCATACACCAGTTCCACCCTAGTTCCACCAGAAGTTCCTGTGCATAAATGAGATGGAAGCCAACGGGCTCTGTGGGTCAAATAGAGCTGAACCAGCATATGATGCCAAAGTAAGCCCCCCCC